GCTTTGCTTTGGCCTGCTGAGAGGCCTCGCTGCGGGGCCCGTGCCAGCTCCCCAGCTGCCGCCGCAGGAAAGTCAAGTGGTTTCTCTTTGGTTTCAGGGTTTGTGTTACTTGCTGTAGAGCCTTACCTGTGCTGGCTGGTGTAGGCAGTGCCCGGGGTCCTTTGTATGTCTGCTGTTGCCTTGGCATCGTTTCCCACCTAGAAGCTCCTTTTTTTTCCCCTAGTGTTGTGCTTGTGTGTGCCCTTCCTGGGTTTCTGCTGAATGCTGCTTCTGCAGAGTATTTCTTTTGCCCGTTTGGCTGCAAGAGACTTGACCAGTTTTAAATGCCAACCTTCAGTGTAAGAACTATCAATTCTGTAAAGCCTCACACAAGAAATTGTAGTTAAGGGTTTGATGCTGTTCAGCTTGTTATGGAAAAGTCATACAGGAGAAAACGTGGTTAGGGGGTGCAGCAGATCAGAAACAAAGCTGATCACCGTTTTGTTTTTTTCTTTTCTGTAGAGTTTTTGGATGTGAAGGATGGACTTCTCAGTAATTTCTGATGGAGACGTACAAAATGTGCTTTCAGCTATGCAGAAGAACTTGGAGTGCCCGATATGGTATGCCAGGAGAATAATATGAGCTCTCTATTAGAATAGTTGATGAGTCTTCTGGTTTTACTCCTGAACCCAACAGAACTCTGCTATCCTTTACTCTTGTCATGGGAGATCAGGATTGAAAAAGAAGACGTTGGTGTTCTAACAGCAAGTTTCCTGCCTTGCTGAGCTGACATTTCCAGAAAATGCTTTTTGCCAGAGGAAGATAAAGATTGTGAAAAGCTGGTAGATATGTATATAACGCATAACGTCAGTATTTGTAGCTGTACCTAGTTCTCGACTGGAAAGTTGTCAAATGTGTTCCACTCCTCTCCACCACAAGGGTTTTGTGGTGTGGGTTGGATGTTTGTATTTTTTAAGTTTGTGAATCTTATTTCGTTGTTTTGATTTTGTCTGTAACTTCTGTGTTCTTGTTTTCCTTCATTTTTCTTTTTGTAGTTTGGATGTGGTAGAAGAGCCCGTTTCAACAAAATGTGATCACATATTCTGCAGGTCGGTTTGAAAACTTGTAATTGCAATGCTTAGTCAGTTGTTCTTATTGTCCATGTACACTTCTTTAGTGTTTTAATAACTTAATGTGTAATTATTTTAAGGGAAAAATAAATTATGAAAAAGAAATAACTGCAGTTTTAAAGATGTGTTGAAGGGGAGGGATTAATTCGTTGTAACATCAGAACAGGAATACAGAAATTCAACTCAATAACAAAAGATTTCTAAAAGTGGTGCATGCCTGCACTCAGTTTAAGAGGAAATAAAGTCTTCCCTTTGTTACCATTGTAACAATTCTTTCTTCCTAGGTTCTGCATGTTCAAACTCCTCAGCAAAAAGAATAAAGGTGTGATACAGTGTCCTCTGTGTAAGAGTGAAGTTACCAAGAGGTAATGCATCTTTGCAAGTGGGCTTGAGGATGGGAAGTCTGAACTCTAAGTTAATCATTGTCTTTAAAGTGTCTTAGCAGAAGACTGAAGTAAACCCAAAAAGGTGGTTAAGTAAAATCAGCTTGTAAAAGAGAATCTCTTTAGCGCTTTACCGCAACATGAACTTTTCAAGTGATTGCAGGTGAAGACACCATTCTTAACAAATGTTTGTGCTATCAAGTATAGAGTGGTTTATTGTTCAGTCACTACAACTGCTTTCTTTGTGCTAAATCTGTATGAGGAAAACCATGAAATTTTCACTTTGCGATAGCTTTAAATCACGTAGTAATGTTTGGTTTGGGGAATTGCACTGTTATTCCTTGTCAGTAACTTCTCATCGTCTCATCTTCCACTTGCAAGTTTTGCTCATTTTGTTCAGCCTAAATTCTAGGAGAACTATTGGTAATTCACCCATACATTTATCTTAAAACAACTCACGTGGTGATGTTATTTCAGAAGTCTGAAAGAAAATTCCAGATTTAAGCAACTAATTGAGGGATTGTTGGAAACTATCCGTGCGTTTGAGCTTGACACTGGAATAAAGTGTAAGTGTTGTGAATGTATACCCCCCACTTTTAAATAAGATTTTGACATTTGTATCACAATTATTTGTGGAGTATCTCATTTACCAAGCAGTATTCAATATTGGAAGGATTGTTAGAAGTTTTTTCTTGCATGTAGAAGCAAAAATTCCATTAAGTTTTTCAGGTTCCCACAATAGCCTCTTGAGCCATCTTAAGGGTTTGTACTGTGCATTTGACGATTTCAGGCAACTTTATTTTCAGTTCCTGAAATGGCTGAATGTGTATCAAATAACCTTTCATCTACAACTGTGTGGTGAAGTCTTGCTCTTGATTATGCCCAGCCTTGCAACTTTACCTTCTTAGACAGTTTTAGAGCCTGAATTAGCAAGTGCTACAACAGTGTATCTTAACTTGTCCCATTCAGATATATCCCTCCGGAAGCTAATTTTATCCTTTCTAGTTCTTAGTGCCTTCTATTGGCAAGTCAAGCACCTGTTTGCTTACATTTTGGGAAGCAAGATGTTGTTGGGGCAGGTGGTGGTTTGTGGGTTTCGATTTGTTGGGGGGTTTTTTAATACATTGTGCTACAAAAACTAGACTTTCTTCTCAGATTCTTTTCAACTTGTTCAGTCAATAGATCCTGGTTTTGCTAGATTATCCATATCAGCAAAATTGGTTGGGAAAATTAGTTGGCAAGATCAAGACTTTACTTAATAAAGAACTATCAGACTAACAGTTCATATATAATAATAGTCAGATTTCTTTCTTTGATAATTGTGTTTTAGCTGGATATATACTAGCTATATAGAATTTATGCCAGGCTGTTTTATTTATATATAATACCTGTCGTCATGCAGTGTAAGGAAATATTTTTGCTTTTTTTTTCCCTATTGACATTTTTCAGTTTTAAACAGTCATCACTTTCCTAAAACATCCACAGAAGTCACTGCTGCTGAGTTCCTGCGTAAAGAAAGTTCTGTCATCCAGAGTAAGGGCTTCAGAAACAGGAAGAAAAGCGCTAAAGGAAAAGGACAGAAAAACTGCACCTTGGTATTTTTTTTCTTCAATTTACTTTTAATGGATTTTTAGTGTTTTATTTGGAATGTGTATACATGCGTATACATAAAGGAATGGAATAGGAGATTTTGGGTTGCTTTCATGTCACTGACTTGAATATTTCAGACATCTAAATATTTTTGTCTTCCTAACCTAGTTTAAAAAGTTATTTGCATAAAATGATCTGAGCTTAAAGATAATAGTGGCATAATAGATTCTGTTCATGAAACTAAGATTAAAGACTTATTTTGTACTGCTTTTTTAATGAGATTCTCTAATTATTAGTAGGCTTTTTACTTGTTCAGTGGTAAGATCATGAATATCTTAATTCTTAAGACGTTGTCCAACTTAGGGTGATGGCTGGATGTACGTGTTTTTTTGTGGTATGCTGCTTCTTGTCTCATCTGCTTAATGCAGAATAGAATGTTAATTAAGATAACAACTCAAATCATGACCAGTTTTAAATTCATAATAATTGTTTCTGTTAATACGTTCCATTACTGATATCAGTATAATAAATTGCATGTATTGATTTTTTTGTATAGAGGCTGCCAATTTAAGTAGTTAGTTTGCATATATCAGTCCCCTCCTGCTGTAGTTTAAATAATTACTACTTATTTTCTAGAAATAGCCTACTGTCATAAATAACCAATCTTTTCTGTTCTCCTGAACCTAATGTGGACACACAGCTTACAGACAGTAGAGTCAAAAGATGTTCCCTAAGAAACAAAATCCAGAAGTGTGACTCTGAAAAAGGGATTTATATAGAGTTTGGTAAGATCTGTTGTAGGTCCATGCTAGTTGAGCTTATGTTTAATGCTTCAAAGTAATGAAAAGCAATGAAGTTCAAAGTCTTTATATTCTCCTCAACTTCCAAAATAAGGACACAGGGACAAACGATGGACAATTCCAGGATGGTAAATGAGAGGGGATTTTTACATAGTTTATAATATCATAGGAAATAATGCTCCTAGAGTAAACCTTTAAGGCTCGGTGTACAAAATCCAAAGAGAGGATGTTTACAGATGTGGAAAAAAGTTATCATTGCTATAACTAATGATAACTGCTGTTTTCTAATGAATATTAAGCCTTGTTACCAGTGCTTGAGGCTCTACTTAATAACCAGAGAGAAGAATGAAATCTAATTGAGAAAAGAATATTTAATTTCTGTTTATCCTAGCTTTTTAGAACTTCCTTTTAATCTGGTGCTGACTCCTGTGAGAAGCAAGATAGATACAAACTTTATTTTCTCCCTGTTCCTTCAAGGAAAGTATTGCTCTTTTTTAAGAGATATTGTTCATTGCCTCTCTCTTTTTCTTACTGCTTCTGCCAAGATCAATCAAAGGATCCAAGACAGATAATTGAATATAGTGCTCTGCTTCCAGTAAAAAATTCTGAATACTAGCACCTGTTTCATGTATAAATTTAGACACTGAATCTGGCAAACCAGAGTAACAGCCAGTTTGTTTTTAGGCTCTGATTAGCTTTTTAAACAGACAAGCTATACTGGGTAAGTAAAGGAAATTAAGGAATTCATATTTTCTAAAGACAATAGTTCACTGTTCTCATTCATATGTTTTGGTTTCTTAGCACAGGACTGATAGAATTCTTAAAACTGACTTTGAGGGGGTCACAGTAAAGTGACCTCCCACTGAAGCATATATTTGTCATATAATATTCTTTAAAGGTATTTCCTAAGTGTTTTGTTGCTTACACAAGCATTAGATCTTCAAGAGAAAAGCATGTATGATGCTTTAGAAAGTAACTGACACTAGTGAATGTCAGAGGAGATCTTTTCAAGAAATGTGCTGAAGCTCTGAAGGGATCTAGTTGTGGTGAGTGTCAATCATGCAGTCTCACTTCTCCCAAAATTATTTCAGAGAGCAGAAAGGGAAAGTCAGGTATCATCTTCTGTTATGTCTGTTGTGATCTTCTCTGTAATGAAAGTCGATTTCCTTTCCCAACAGGTTAGACAAGGAAGTGCTTCAGATTTCAGCTCAAGAAAAGCTAGAAAAACCTAAGAGTGCTGAGAAGGGGAATGAATATTCTTGCAATACACAGCCCAACACACTGGGTGCTAAAGAAATTATTCTACCAAATGTAGTAGGTGTGTTTGTTGGTTTGGTGACAAAAATTATTAAGCTTGAAAGAAAGACCACAAGTTAACATTTTGATTCCACACAGTCAGAGAAAAAAAAAAAAAAAATGTATATAGTAGCTTTCTCCCCAGGGAGATCTGTTCTGGGGGGAAATAACAGGGTTTTTTTTAAAACAAAGTAGCCATTAAGATTGTCGTTGTTCTTGTGTGTGTAAAACAAGGCTTAATAATTTATAATACCTATAAATCTCCAGGTGAAAGTGATTCCTTGAAGGAAGACTTGAGCAAGAAAAGCACTCGGAGCATCACTGAGTATGGCAAACCTGGCCAAGTGAATCTGACTGAATGCCAGAGTTCTCCTTTAAATGTTCTTGCTGGAGACCTACTCGCAGAGCAGTGTGACGGAATAAATAATTCCAGTCCTGTAAGGAATGAGGACACATCTCTTTTTAAGAACACAGCAGAAGAGGATGCAGAGCAAACTCCGTGCAATAATGAAAGCAAAGAATTTGACTTAAAAGATAGCTTGGAGAGCAGGTTGAATAAAAGCAAGGAAATAGATAGTGTTGTACAAAGTGTGGAAACATGTGAACTTGAGAATGGTTCTTGCCATGAGAAAACTTCTCCAGAGGAGGTTCTATTTCAGCCAGAGACACTTGATTGTGCTACCTTGAATCAAGTCTCTAGAAAGAGACTGAAGCGAAGCATCCAGAAAGTCAATGAGTGGTTTTCAAAAAGCAACGAGATTCTGTCTTCCAGTTCTTCCCAGGATGGTTCTGCTGGACCAGGTGATGTTTCAGGTGAAGATGTGTGTTTATCAGATAAAGATTCCTGTATTTCTGAAAAGACTGACCCTCTGGTAGATTCCATGGAAATTGCAGTGGTTGAAGGAAATAAGAGGTGGTCAAAACAAACAGCAGATAGCATCAAAGACAAAATATTTGGAAAAACATATACAAGAGAGAGGAAGTCAAATCCCCCTATTATCTTGAAAGATATTTTACCTCCTATAGAAAAGGAAGAGGAAGATGTGGCTGCTAAGTGCTTGAATAATTCCAGCAAGGACGGACTAAAACGAAAAAGGAAGACCGCCTGTGTTCTACAACCTGAGGATTTCATCAAGAAAAAAGATATAGAAGAGGCAGATGGGTGCCCTCAGAATGCTGATTGGTGCCTTGGAGATGCTGAAAATAAAAGAGATTATGTTAATGAGAGTCACCTCTCTGAGAATAGAGAGGATCATACACTAGCAGAACTTAAGGAAAACGGAGAATCCATATGGAAAAAAGCAGCTGAAAAGGTGACTAGCAAGCACTGTGATGGGGAGCTAGAACTGAATAACTGTGATCACAAAAGCACTCAGAAGAGTTCTGCAGCAAAAAGATGCAAGCGTTCTACTAGAGCCATGTGTGCTCTACAGCTAGTAGTGGATAGAAACTCTGTTTCCCCTGATCCAGCTGAGCCACAGATTGATAGCTATCCAAGCAGTGAAGAGCCAGGGAAAGTTGATTCTGAGCAAAGACAAGTCAGACGGAGCAGGAGGCTTCAGTTACTTTCTGAAGAAATGACAAAAGAAACAGGAAAAGAAGTAGTGCTTAAGGGAGCAAGAACATACGACAGTGATCATGAAGGGCCTTTCTTTGGAGTCCGAAGGAATGTGTTAGTTCACGCTTCTGAATGCAAAGACCTGCGTCAGCACCAGGGTACACTGAGTCACAAGCCACTGGCTGATCTGAAGGGTAATGATTTGGAAGCTGGTGAAATACAGATTAGACTAAAGAAATCACCTGGCACTGCAGAAGCTGGAAAAAGTCTCTTCAATCCTACATCTTCATGTCAGCGTTCAGACTGTGGTTCCTTTGCAGCTGATGCAAGTTCTCAAGGAGGTGAAATACTAGGCAGCCCTTTGCGCCTACAGTCTCCTTCAAGGACTGTTGTGCAGACTGCTTCTCACCTGACTGAAGAGACGACTGCATCATGTACTACTTTTCCCTGCAATGGTGGACGTGACACACAAAATGTGCCAGGGGATGTGACAACTGAAAAGTTATTAATGGCTAAAAATGTTTCAGATTTGACCAAGGAAGCTGAAGATAGTGAGTTAGACACACAGTATCTGCGAAACATATTTAGGCATTCAAAACGCGTATCATTCAGTCTTTATCCTGCTCCCGGGAAGACATGTGCAGTAGAAGATGCTGTTTCTGAAACTTTGAAGGTAATAGGTACTGATCAAGTAGAAAATAAGTACAGCAAATATTTAGAACCAGAACACTTACAAGGAGAGAAAACAGCTGCTGAAAGCTTGAGTAGGGCTTGTGAGAAAGAAATGCTTAAGAACTATCAACCTGCTTGTGTTAGTCCTGTGGCTTGCTTTGTCGGCAACGCTGTGTGTATGCACGGAGGGGAACATGCTGAAGGTGTTTCAGAGGTTGCAAATCAAGGGAATGTGACACCAGTAAGTATGGGTACTGCTAGGACTGAAGACCACAAGGGGTCACAAAAAGGAGAGCAGGGAGATGGAAAGACAGTGTCAACTGACATAGGGATAGAAAGTGAGTTGGGACAGAATCCAATCAAAAGTAATAGAAGCCAGAGTGAACCGACTAATACAGAAGGGCGCATTTTCAAAAGAACCAATTTAAACACAGTCGATGAAATATGCTTCAGTTCACAAAGCAATCAAGCAAGCAAGGCCAAAGTTATTGATGGCAAAGAACCGATGCTACATTATCTGTCCGGATCGATGATCTGTCCTGCAACTTGTCAGCAAAGGCCTGCTGAATCCACCTGTGAAGTCACGGGGAAAAAAATTAGCAAAAGAGAAGGAAAACAAGTAAAGGGGAATGAAGAACAAGCAACCCAAACTGCTGGCACGGGGATGCCAGAATGTTTAGTTACAGAGGCTCCAGAAGAACTTCTCAGAGGGAACAGTGATTTTACAAGTTTCTCTGAAACCCCTGATGGTTTACTGTGCCCTGATGATATTGAAGAGAACACCAGCCTTTCTGAAACCGATAGGAGAGAGAGATCTGCTGTGTTTATAAAAAGAAATGACAATGTCCTGGTAGAAGAACTAAACAATAGAAATGTTAGTTCCAAGCTAAGATCTCAAGGTATTCAAAGATCTCGAAGAAGAGTGCAGAAGCTGCCATCTTCAGATGAAGAATCTAGCGAGGATGAAGATTTACCATGTTTTCAGACATTAATATTTGGCAAATCAGTAAACACACCTTTGCAGATCAATAAACAAGTGACTTCTGTGGTAGATTCTTCACCAAGTCCCATCACATTGTCTCACAATGGAAGTCATAATGATGGTAAAATGCAGAAAATGCCTGAAGCTGAGCTAAAAAACGGGTATGTTTCACCAGGCCAGGAGTCGGAATGCTCTGTCGACTTATTTTCCTCCCAGTCCGTGTCTGAAGAATCAGTCGATGGAGCACAGGAGCTACAGGAACCTGTAATACAAGTTCACACATCCAAACAAGTGAGCAATGGGAACGACAGTAAAGAAACTTTTCAAAGTTGCAATGGAGGGCTGACAAGAAGCAAAACTAACTTCAAGGATGAATGCCAAGAAGACCCAAATATGGGCACAAACCTAGGTACAAACCACAATTCTTTTTCTCTGCAGCTGTGTTTGTAAAGTCATTGCACCTAGGTTTTTGGTGGTTGCATGGGGACTTTGTTCTCTATTTATGTGGTGCTTGCTCTTTTAAGGGAATGTATCAGCCCTAAACAATCAAATTAAAAGCCCTCAGTGGTTTATTTCCTGAAAATTAAGTTGCTCCATTATTTTTTGTTCAGAGCAAAACTAAATAGACTGGGCACTAGAGGCAGAATAGGTCTGTCTGATGGGAATTAATTTTTGAGTGAAATGCTAGCTTTCTTATTGCAATGCAATACCTGCCTCTATCAGCAAAATTTCTTAAAGCCTACCTAAGCTGTTTTTCCAGGTGAAATGTTTGTTGAAATTGGCTGTAGAATTCTGTAATAATTATTCTGATCTTTTTCTGGATTTCTTAAATATTTAGAACTCTTGCTATTGAAGCACCTTGAGTTCTATTTACTTTGCCATGTGTGACATGGTGTATTTCAAACTGTTCGCTTAGAGTAGATCTGTGCTTCCAACTTAAGTGTTTTCAAAACTTGTCACTTTGTCATAGTTAACAGTTGACTAAAAGGTCTGTGTGGTAAGAGAGTATGGGATGTTTGTTGGACTTGTTTTGTTGTTTGGAGTTTTTTCTTCAACTAACCCAGATTTTCTTCCACCTTCTTCCAGGTGAAGGATATGACAGTGAAACAAGTAATATAGAAGATTCATGTGGACAATTCTCTCAGGGTGAAATCCTTACTACACAGGTAAGGAAGTTTATACACTAAATTCCAAAAGTAGTTTGCATTCCAGAGTGTGAGAAACCACATGAAAGCTGTGAAGTCAGTGTAGCGGGGAACTGTTCTTGTTGTTATGCTTTGTGTCGCTACTTCCAAGAGCATAATTAATGCAGAATAGTAGGACTGCTTCTACGCCGTTATTTGTCCAACTTTGCCTTCCACGGTAACATTACATTCTAGTGGCTGTAACCTATTATGTGGTATTGATTACAGCACTTCATTGAGGGAGATGCTAGTTAATGAATCTCCACACTTGACCAATGCTGGAAACCCTGGCTTCCTGTATTTAAAAGCTTAATTGATAGGAATTTATAATAGTTGGTGATAAGGGTTGGATTTATGACGTCATAATATTTAGAAGCATGGAGACTTGCCTTCTCAGGGTGAAGACTAATTCAAATAATTCCATATTAGAATATTACAGGTGTAAGATCCAACAGGCAGTGTCCGATGAAAGTTGGGACTAGCCATGAAAGATGGGTCAGCACAGTGTATTTTCTCTACTATTAATTTCTCAATTACTGCTTAATGGCTTGATTTTATGTATTGAGTGATTGGTGGGGCAGTTTTTCAGCCTGCTTGTTTTGTTGCAGTTTTTTTTTGTGGTCTGTTTTTGCTTTGGTGTTTTGTTTGGTGGATTCTTTGTTGATTTATTTTATCCTCTGTAACTTCAGGCTAGGTCTTATGCCTAATTTCTTTCTTGACCATCAAAAGGTGTATGGATTTTAATGTATATCATAAAAATTTCATTGTTGTGCTTTATGAGTATGCTTTATGTGCTTTATCCTGTATGGGGAAAGTTTTACATTTTTTAAAGGATCATTTGGAACTCTGAGCTCCTCTTATGAGGTGCATATGGTGCGTTTTTAAGAGAGGGTGTTGTAATTGTTGAAAGAGAAAGTAAGGAAGAGTAGGATGAAATATTTTATTCCTTTTAAACAGTCTTTGGAGTTTTCAGTAATGGTTGAAAGTGCAGAGGAAGTGGCTAATGCAAACTAAGGCAGTCAGGGCAAAATCACTTTTAAGGAAATCTATGCAGAAGTTCTCTCTTTCTGGACTGATTAAACTCAATTGTCTAAACTGAAACAATTTGAACAGCAAAAAGCCTGTGCGGTTATTTGGGTTTTCTGCTTTTGAGATAACAAATAATGCACACATGCTACAGTAAAAGCACCGCAGTCACCTTTTGAACAGATGGTAATAATTCAAAATAATTTTGCTCTTTCTAATTTTTAAGCATTTGTTAAATAAATTAATCTTACTGGTTGAAACAGATTGCTAATGTTGGCACAATTGCGTATCCTTTGCAGCAGAAGAACGCTATGCAAAATAACCTAAAAAAACTCCAGGAAGAAATGGCTGTGCTTGAAGCAGTGCTGAAGCAGCAAGGAAGCCAAAACTGTGAATTTTTACCCATGCATAGGAAACTGCCACATTCCAATAGCGAGGGAACGCTTGGGATGGAAAATATGAGACAAGAAAGAGGTAAATAGCAATGAAAACCTTTCCCAGCTTTCTTAAAAACAGTTGTGTTACTATTACTAGTTCTTTTTCCTCCTACCACGAATCATAGTGCTAATTTAAAATTGATACATCTGCAGAATTTTACCTAAATTCAGCTGTTCAGTGAGACATGTATGTTTTGCTTGTAACTTGGGTACTGTGCTTCATCTCGCACAGGTCTGTAACAGGGTGGGGTTGGACAACATTTTGACAGCAGTAAGAGTTATCTGTCTCACGTGTGAGTTGGTGCTTCTCGACAAACACGCTACTAAAAGCTTCACAGGTGTTCTAGTGTCTCAGCTATAGATCAAGAAAAAGTAATGATAGAGGCAAAGGTGAGGTAATAAACAAATAAGGAGAGGAAGTGATGGCAGCATTTAAATTTAAAAGGTAGAAAAACAGTCTTCAACCACGACTACAAGAAGGATAAAAGTGCTTCAAGGGGTAATTTCTCTTTTTCTTCAGAAAATGCAGATGAGCAGAAATCTGAGACCAGGCTAAATAGTGCATGTGTCGTATCAAATCTCTCTGGAAATGTGGATAGGAGTCCAAATAACTCTTCGTCCGCTGTAAGGCTGCTTAACCCTCGAACTGCAGAAGCAACAAATAGTTCTGTTGTGGCTCAGGATGCTGATAAAAGCTCTGCTCAAGAATGCGAGTCAGAGAGAAGTGTGTGTTTTCCTGTATCTGCTCTGCACAGTGCAGCTGGGAAAGAAAATGCTGCAAGTCCAGTTGTGACTAACAGGAAAAAAATGTCAATTGTGGCATCGGGTCTGAATCAAAGTGAGCATGTAAGTATATTTCAGAAGCTTTAGAGATCAATTGTTGACTGTTCCTGATTACCACTATAATCTCCAACAGAGAGATCTAAGTATAACAGAAACTGATTTTACAGGAGTTTCAGATTAGTAATACAGCAACTAAAGTCAAACTTTTTCACTCCTAAAAATATGAAGAATGTTACCTGTAAACAGCGCTTTAGTGGAATTTGAACTTTTTTTAAAGACTGCCTGCTGTCTAGGGGAAAAACATGTTATTCCAAAGCACGAGGATTTTATTTCTAGAAATCCTTGGGGCTTTTTGGTAGATTGGTTACCTTAATGTTCTCAGATGCTGCTACTTTACCCAAATTCTGATCCATAGTGAGGATTTCTGCAATTAATCAATTTTGTTTTGCTAATAAATCTGTTTCGATAATCCTTTTCCAGGATATGGTTTTTGGTTTATGAACTACTGACTGAGAGCTTTATTTTAGCCTGTTGAATGGTGCCAAAATTACTGACTTTTAAGGAAATGTACATTCTGTGTGCCAACACAAATAAACCAATTACTTTGAAGAAACTATCTTATGTTATACTATTAGAAACTGAATTTTTTGCATTTTTTAATCTACTTTGCTAGCTGTTCATTTTCTTAACTAATTTTCAGTTGGTGGTTCAGAAGTTTGCGAGAAAGACGCAGAGCACTTTGTCTAATCACGTTACTGAAGGAACAACTCATGTCATCATGAAAACAGGTTTGTTGGGAGTTTGTGAACAAATCCTATATTTACGCACCACGTAGAATTTTAACTCTAGGCTAAAAGCTGAATAACCAAGAAAAGGTTCAAGCTGTACATGCGATTAGTTTCTGCTCATTTCCCTTCAGTTTAGTAGAATCAGGACACCACAATCGCAGAACCTTTCTCTAGATAGTCTTGATATTTTGCTGCTGGACTTAATAAAAAAACTTCTAGGTACAAAAAAATTGAGCCTTTTTTCACTAATGGCAAAACTGAAAGAGATTTTATTCTTGTTTGCTCTGCAGATAAGGAGCTGGTGTGTGAGCGGACACTGAAGTACTTTCTGGGTATTGCAGGAAGAAAATGGGTAGTTAGTTACCAGTGTAAGTATAACTTGTTTTTTCTGTTTTCAGGTAACTATGTTGGATTGCTCTTGACTGACAAAAGCCTTTCCTCCCTCTTAGTTTAAATCTTGGAGATGCATGGAATCAGTTAGTGCAAAACTAAGTATTTGTTTTACATTTTATAAATAATATTAAGCCTTTTAGGCATCATACCATATTCAGTTTCCCTTGGTACAAATACTTTCAATTTAATATAGAAATGTAGTCAAGGCTATTGACAGTGGAAGAACAATTCTGACGGATAAAATTACTTGTCCTGTTCTGATATTTTTCTTTAGGGGTAATTCAGTGTTTTAAAGAAGGAAGGATACTGGATGAGGTAAGTCTTTAATTTTAAGAGTGAAGTGTCAAATGTGTAAGCAGTGCTGTTACATTGATAAGACCTACTATTAACCTCAGATATTGTCAAAACATTTAATATATGGAACTGTGGCTCTGAAAACTGGGATTCTAGTTTTACCAAATGCTAGGACGAAAAGCCAAACCTAGGCTATATGGATTCATTGTCATTGAAGACGTAATGGGTCCCTTTTATTTTTTTGAAACAAATTACAGGCATAGTTTTTTATAAGTGTTCCTATTGATACTGATGGATTACAACATAGAGGAAAAGACTTATTGTTTGAATAAGGAAATACTGTTGGAACATAGCTATATACATGGTTTTGGTTTCATACTTTAGAATAGCCAACTACTGTCCTCTAATACAGATGGATGCTGCAGCAGTTTCATTACTACTCTCCATCATTTTTTAGAAAAGCCTTTTAGTTAGTTTTGTGCACACACTTAATTGTTCTGAAATCTGACAACTTTCTCCTGTTCTGATGCAGAACTCTGACCAGGCAAGTATTCTTAGTCTCCAGTTTCTGATTGCTTGTTTATGTTATGTTCCAGGAGAACTTTGAAGTTAGAGGAGATGTAATCAATGGGAGAGACCACCAAGGTCCCAAGAGAGCTAGGCAGTGTCTGACTGAAAAGGTATGAGCACATCAGGGACGAAAATCCTGTCCTGCAGTGACTGTTTCAGACCTGTGGCTAAGGTAGCTGAATATCTGGAACTTCTTCCCATTTCTCTACTGTTTCGTATATACAGAACTGTATGAATTAAGCATTTTTATACATGCAAGGTGAGCTCTGCCAGCAGTAGAGTAGGTATGCTCAAGTGACTTCACAATACTTAGAGTGAACACTATCTTTTTATAACATCGGCGTAGAATAGCACAGATTTGGGGGATTTCGATGTCATTATTTTGTAGGTTACAAAGAGCTTCTGGGAACCGGTGATAGCTTAATAACTGATCTCAGAAGTGTAATGAAAACAGCATATTAAGGATGTCTTCTGAAGATACCATATGTGCTATGTTAATGTGTTCCTTGTTTTTCAGATCTTTAAAGACTTTGAGATCTGTTGCTATGGACCTTTCACTGATATGACTACAGGTGTGTCATTTTAGTGGAATCAAAGGAGCTCTTAGCATAAAAAAATATTTGGAGAGGGACTGAGCGGATGTGCCAGAGTTTGACCTCTTCTTGGATATGCTTGTACCTCTTTTGCTCTGAAACTTTCAGAATACCTACATGACAAATAGTATAGGTCAAGAACTTTATCCAGTTCTGTCTTTCCTCTGAATATTTCGGAGAACTGCTCTGTCAATTTTGCTGCATTTCAAAACAGAGTTTTTTATCTAGTTTATCTCTGATTCTCTAGCAATAAAGGAAAAGCATTAATATCATGCTGTCTAGTAATTGCTTTAGATGCTGTTGAACACTTGTATTTGAGCATTTTTTTTTCTATCTTAGTAAGCAGTTCCAAAGTACCATTTTTCAACTGCTGTCAACATACCCTCAGTCTAATCTTCTCTCTCTAGCAGTAGATGTTAAAAGTGAAAGGCACAACAAAGCCAGAAGCTTATCTACAAAGAGAAAGCTGGGCAGGATGTTTTCTTTTTGTTGGTTTAAAATTGAATAAAGTGTATTTTAAGATAGAATTTTTCTACTTAATATATTTGTAACTCCCTGTTTTTGTGGATTATGCGACAGGTACTTTCCAATTTGTCCAATATAACTTTATTTTCGACTAGGGTAAATATCCTTACATCTCTTGACATTTACTGTAATTACTACAGAGGATGCAGTGCTTTCACCTGCTGCAGAGATCATCAGTTATGGCTCTCTTATACTTGAGAGACGTATTTAGCTTCTTTACTACTAATTCAATAAATTGGTGAAAATTAAACACTTTGGCTACCTTTAATAAAATAATCACAGTTATAACTTCTCATTTTTAGTATTAATTTCATGTCTTACATCCTTATGATAAGAGGAAATAGTTAGTGACTTTAACTTTGGGGCATGCGGTGTTTTCCCTTTTCAGGGGTTTTGTTTTGTTTTGTTCAGTCCTGACTCGGGAGTGAGGGAAGAGAAGTGAATTGATGTTCCTCAGCAGGCTAGAAAATGAAAGTATTTACTCTGTACTAAGGTTTTGGTTTCTTTCAAATCATGGTTGCTTGTATTTTGGAACAAATGCATGAGGGCTTAGGGAATAGTGTTAGTTTCAATGCGATATAAAACATTGAAGTAATAGCCTGTTTATCTAATTTTTTTTTTCCAGAACATCTGGAATGGATGGTGGAGCTTTGTGGTGCCTCTGTTGTGAAGAAACTCCATCTGTTCACACATGCAGTAGTAAGTGTTAACAAATGTTACACTTAATGTAGTGAACAGTGTTTAGTTACCTAATACACATGTTGGAAGATTACATGGCCTTCATGGGCTTGTCAAAGAGTGATGACTACAGGTGTGTTAGAGACAGCTGTCTGCACAGGAACAACGCCAAACTACGCAGCAACCGTCCTGCGTTCGGGTCACTTTGTATTAGGAGGCAGGCTGGCTTGTAGTGGAGAACTGATCAAAATACTCTGCGTAGGTCAGAGAGTGAACCTCTCCTGAAATCAGCACCGAGCCTCGCTGCTCAGTGCAAAAAGGTTTGAGAGCTTTAACTTCGTCACAGTGTTCCTGGAGAAAAATCACAGAACAATCTCATCTGCTGCTGGTAGGGCTGAGGGTGTTTTAATGACAGCCAGTTAACTAGCATTTTTATTTTCTCGAAATCCTAGAATTCTACTGCTGTCGTGGTTGTGCAGCCAGATGCTTGGATGGAAAACACAGATTATAGAGGTAAAACAGCACATCACCCTGGACAGTTTCATGGTACACATTGAGTGTCTTTATCATCTCAGTCCTTTCAATTGCTAAACGTGAGAGAGGTTTGTAGAGAAATCAAAATAAAATCCTACTGTATCTGCAGATGGAGATATGTCTGCTAAGAAAAATCTGGGAGGACAAGATATTTTATCTGAAGAATCAGCAACAATCTTAAAAGGTAGTCTGGCAAAGAAATCCTATTCTTGTCAGCTTTACAGAAACTTTTCTGATTGGAGATAGATTCTAAAAGAGGAGGAAGTGTGCCCTTGGAGGACTAGTAAGATCTAGGAGAAGGCCTCAGATGGGACAAGATTGTCTTGGTCGGGAAAGAATATCTGACTACAAAGAATATCTTGCTACAGCTTTGCTTTCCTTTTTTTCTTTTGCTTTTTTTTTTCCTCCTTTATTTTCCTGCACACTTCTTTCTTGCGCATTTTTCTTTTCTGTAGTAGTAGGACCATGTTCCTGTTCTTAGGCTTCCGTTTTTTAACGAGGCCTTTAAAATTTCAAAGAGAAAGTTTAACCTGAAAGACATCCTTAAAATCACTTAAGCTTATTTTGACTCGTTCATAACGGTTTTATCATTTGTATCTTTGTCTTACAGCAATGCAGCAAAAGAACAATGTTGCCGTGGTGACTCGAGAGTGGGTATTAGACAGCGTTGCTTGCTATGAGCGCCAGGAGTTCCATGCTTACCTTGTGTCCTAAGGGTAATCTGCAGTTCTTTTTCCATTGCTCAGAAATTCTCATTAGTACTGATAGTTTGGTAATTATTTTAAGGACTGAGAATTTTTAAGTCACTTTGCAGAGATTATGTGCATGTAGTGTTTTTGTTCAGAGTAAAATAACCACATTTTTATTAACAATAAACTTACTTAAACAACATTACCATATAAATATGGAATTACACACTGTTCTTTAAAGATTATAATTTCTAATTTTAAAATGGTCCTTTAAATGAATGTAAAACACACTTTAAAATATGTTAGAAAATGTCGAACGTGGCCTCTTCAGAGCATTGTTTAGCATTGCAGCAATTCCTGTTTGTATTCTTGAGGAGATTTTCGAGAGTTATTTAAAAGAGTAACATGGGGCTCAAGGCTTGAATTGAAACGTACTTGCGCTTCTGAGTAACCTCCCTGTTTTCATTTTGCATAAATACATAACCTGAATAAGGGTGTATACCAATGGAATATTATTTTGTAACTACTAATGTGTCAGCCTAGTTAATCACAGGCCGTGGATTATAGCTGGGTTGCAACCCATAGAAACATCTCTCCTGTTGTATGTACAAGTGCCAACTTACCCTGACCGGGAAAATTGCCCACACCCTGAAAAGCCAATGCTTGATTCTCGATGTAAACCAATCCTTAAAAACCACAAGCCTCTAACAGTGTTGTGTCAATCTTATTTCTGAGAGGTGTGTGGCACCTACGAAGAGATAATAAACGTGCACTTTAGGATCTTACTTAGGGCTCTTATGCAGTAAGGGTCACTATTAGAATGTGCTTCCAATAGTCCCTGCCTGCTAAATGAGATTGCAAAGGAAATAAATTGCTTTTTACGCAGGAAAATGTTGCTTGTTTCTGTTGACAAGTAATTGAACTTCATAAATAATTTTGTACTTTCAGAGCAGAAAGAGAACCTATTTTCATAAAGTTGTTTTAAAAAATTTTAGGGGAGTTCAAAGAATTGTTTGGTGCTCAGATGCTGCTAGGTTGTCTTGGAAAATCATAGAAAGTACATTTATAAATATTAGGATGCTCAAAGGAAATAAAATTATTTTGGCAAATACTTTACGTAATTGTTCAGCTCCTCTTATGTGAGTCAGCCACTCAGTCTCTGCATTAAGGCATATATGAAAAAATATCCAAAGTCCAGCCTCCTGGAATGGGGGGAGCGAGCAGAGACTTACCGGAGGAGGTAAAAAAATATAAATTAGAATTTCAGAGCTGGAATCAGAATTGTAATTTCCATCAACCTGAGAAGCAAATGTGCTATCAAGTGTCTTGCAGTTGCCAAGTGGAGGCAAATGTAGTCTAACTAGGCATTGCTACTGGTAGTGTAAGAGCTGGGAGCATAAATTGCTGTTTTCTTCTATGTGACAATGTTTCGTAACTGTCAAGGCTGTTCAACACAGCCTCACCTTCAGGCGTATGCTCCTCTTATCTTTAGAGTCCATGTTGGTTGTTGGTTTGTTTGTGTTTTGTTTTGTTGCTGTGATGTGGTTTGTGGTGGGGCTTTTTTATAGCCTAGGTTTCAAAAGAGAGATGGGGGGACCACTAAATGCTGCCTGTTAGATGCAAGTGAAAGGCCAAACAAGACTGTTTTGCATCTGCCAGTGTGAAACTGGCCCTCAGGTCTTGACACAGGAGCTGCCCTTTCTGGCAGGTAAGGTCCTAGCTCCAGCTAGATAATTGTCTCTAGGAACGACACCTGCGACATTGCCCTTCTTCCTTGGAGGTGGCTGGACTGCATCTGTGGAAACTTGGTTTCTAATACAGCAAGCACCAGCCATGATCTTTTCTGGTAATCTGCATCTCCCTTAAGGTTTGAATGAAGTGCAAGGGTTTGACTAAGCAGATAGCTAGGTAGAGGAAGGATATGCTTCCAGAGAAGTTGACAGTTTAAGGGGAGCTGATGTGGCCTCTGTCGTGAAGTTCATACTGACTTCTCTAGTCTGACTTCCAGTTTCAGTAATAAAGCCTCAGCACTGGGAGCTTCACAGCCACTACATGGGTTGGAAATGCCATTTCATACACGAGGATTGAGCTGCATTTCATACCTGTTTGCTCACATGCAAGAGCAGCTTGCTTTATAACACTTCTCAGGGTAGGAAGCCTCTGAGGTGAATGCTTTTTAAAACATGTCTAGGCCACGCTGTGCCTTCTTCAGTAATTATCTGAGGGTAAGGACTAGCAGAATCAAACATCACCAAAGAACTACACACCTAGTTAGAGGGTCTGCATACAAACTCCTGGTAGGCAGCATGTGCCTTTCATGCTATTCGCTAGAGTGAGGGAAGAAATGAAAGGCTCTGGTGCTGTAGGTTTGCCTGAGGCTTTACCTTAGGTAAGTACTATATTTGTAATTAAAACTTCTCTGCTTTTGTGACTTAATAGCAGCTTTTCTCAGTGCACCTGCATCAGGGTCAGCTTTCAAGAAACCCAAGCTCTGCCCCTGTTTAGTGTCTGTGCCCCGCCCCCTGCCACGGTCCCAGCTGCAGTAGGAGTCTGCCGGACACAAAGCTTTGACCCAGCCTTTCTGGTCAGTACTTGGTGTGGTGTTTGGGCCGTGCTTTCTCTGAATCGGTAGGAGCTGGTGCATCAGAGGTACTGCTTTACTGTGCGGAAGATTTCAAAACTACGTGAGTAGGTGGGGCAGTTAAATTCTTTCCTTCCCCTTTTCTCTAGGCTAACTTTCAAACTCAAAGGGGAGGAATTTACTACTTGTGGGGAATAAAGGAAGACCTGCATTAACGAGAGCTAACGTTGCACTGGGGCGGCAACCGGCTAGCTTTGTCTCCCAGTGGCTGCACTTGGATTGTTGCAGCTGGTCCCTTTTTCCCCTTAAGGTGTTGAGAATCCTTAGCACCTGATTCTGGGTAATACGTTTTGCCTGATTCCTGGTTATGCCGTGCATTGTTCCTATTCTTTATTTCACCCTTCAGAGCTTTCAGCTATGTCGAGTAGGAATCACAGCTGTAGCACCAGGTAGGCTCATCAAAAACATTGAGCCTGGATCTCATCTGCTACAGCATCTGAGATCAGGCAGAGCCGAAAGCCTCAGGCCCCTCAGAGGTGTTCTGGGGCTCTGTGCCTGTCCTTTCACCAGAACAAATGAGTCAAAGTATTTCTGTGACGCTGCCTTATCTTATTAGGGAAACTGCTAACGAGCCATGGTGGGGCAGAAGCTGTCCAGGGCTTATTTTCTAATATATGGGAATGGATTCATGGTTAAAATTCATGTATGCTAATTAAGTATAGCTTTGTCTTGCATCCTTATCAGCCCTGCTGATGTGGAAGCCAGCAGATAATAAGCAGCCTCTTACCAATTCAGACTGTCCTTTACATTTTGCTGCTAGGCAGCGTGGAGTTATGGGTTGGCAGAGCCCACTCAGGTTACAGGAATGTTGGAGTAAATGTGTGAACACTGTTTGCTTCATAGCTATTGTGGAGGCTGCAGACAAGCAACAGGGAGAGGTTTGTGGGCTGTAGGGGGTAATTAAGCATCAAAGTAAAAATATTACTCAGTAGTTAAAAGCCCTTTGTGCTTGGCAATACTGGGTTTTGATGCAGGATTTTGCTGCTTCTCAAAGGAAGTTTCTGGTTCTTAGGAGAACACAACAGCAGACTCTCCTAGAACATAGTGCAGCACATCTGTGTGTAAAATGTTTGTGCGGTGCCTCTGATGCCTTTCTCCTCGCTATACCTTTCCTGCGTATGACTGAACCATATTGTCACATCTTTTCCCTCCTCAATCCAGTTCCTTGCTCAGAACTCTTTAATGTGCAACCACAGCTGCTGATGATGATAACTGGAAACACCTGCATGGCATGCATGGTGAAGGCTGGCAGGCTGAAAGAGTCCACCTGCTAGAAATTCCAGCTGGGTTTGTTTAGCCTGGAGAAGGCTAAAGCAGTAGGGGGTGGGGTGTAACAGAGAATCCTCTTTAATACAGCTGTGGGATTATGTCAGGTTTTTCTACAACCTGCACATGCAGGATGGTGCTGGTACACTGCTTTTTTCACCTCTGGCTCTGCATCCTGACTTGCAGTCTCCCCAGGAGACAGGGTAAGTGGTGGTGGTGGCGGCAGCCATTTGCTGGCGAACACCCTTTCTGTTCTTGGTAGGCTGTGGATGGCAGCTTTTGCTCAAAGAGGAGGTGAAGGAAAGCTTAGTCTCCATGCCATAATGTAGAGATTTTAAATGCAACTACTGGCAGAGCCTGGAAGTCATTATGCATCGTAAATGAGCTGCTTTGAGACTTGCTCTGAAAGAATATTGAAGTGGCAAATCTATCTAACGTATGTAGGAGGCAAAGGAAGGAGAAGACAGCAGCTGGCATTCCCACAGCAGGCTTTTTTCTAATTGGGCTGTACTGAGATCTCCCTCCTTTCCTGCTTGGGATTTGGGAGGAATTGGGAAGCTCTTCAGCCTGCACTCCCTATCTTGCCACCTTACTTTTCTTACTGTTTGGAAAGGGACTTTATTGCAAAAGTGTGTCTTTAATTTATTTGAACTCCAACTTGCCTGCCTCCTTCCCCCAAGGAGCAGTAGCTCCCTGCTTATATGACTGACGGCAGAATTTGGGGGGGATATATGTTGCTTTGGCACGGGGATTCCAGAAGGGAAAGTTGGACTCAGGTGGGGCTGCAACATTGTCTGGCTAGGGCCCTTCTCAGCACCGCCCCACAGCAGAGCCAAGAGCCATGAGAGTTCACTGATACAGGGAGAGTACCGGAGCCTTTTCTGCGCTGGGACTGGTGCAAGCTGCCCAGAGGATCATGAGCTCTGTCAAGCACGTGCTGGCACTGCCAGGATTACGACGGTCAGTCATAGAGCAGTCACATGAAATGATGGGTCTCAAAACACTTGATGGGTATTTTTGATCGTTCTCTCCTGCTCCCCTTCTGCTTGAGGCTAGATGCTATTGCCTCTACTTCTGTGAGTTGTTTCTGGTCCTAGGTAGATTCAAAGCATTTTTTATACAGGCTGGAGGCATCCCAGCCTCAGGCAGTGTCTGTTTGCCAGACCAACTGTTCCTTCCCTTTTAAAGGAGCCTGACAAGGGCTTGATTGTGGCTTGTCATGACAGGGATTTGTTCAACAGAGGTGTCTTTTGCAACAACTTTATTTTGCTGCCTTAGAATGGTTCTTCTGTGGGTGCCTTAAATTTGAAATAGTGTTCATTCTGAATTCTGTCAAGTTGTATTTCAGTACCTGACCTACCAATACTGCTGATTAGCAGCAATGACTACATGTATAGCTTTTTGCTGAAGTAGTTTACTCTTTAAATCCTCCCTTTGCATTTGGATCCATACACGAAGAGTTATTTCCTTGCAGATCTGAAGCCATTTATAAGGGAGCAGCTTATTCATGGATGCAATTAGAACACTTGTCTGACTCATTACTAGAGTTAATGTTAAATCAAAGAAATATTCAGTACGTTCCTATAATTATTCTTGGTGATTTGCTGGATTGTTTTAATCTTGGGTTTGGTGTCAGTTTTATTTTGCTGATGTTATGAATAAAAACCTTGTGCATAAACTATAAATGATCCATCTGTGTAGAAAATGCCCCTGAATTCACCTGCGAAAGGCAGCCTTTGGTCTGACCGGGTTGGTTTTCTTTCTCCTTCTCTGATCAGTACCCAATTCCTGGGTGAAAAGCACAAAAAAGAATGGCTGTGGTCAGTGCTGCTGTTCATCAAAAAATTTGTTTAGGTGCATGGTTAATTCTTCTGACCCTCAGTAGTACTGGCTCATTGTGCCTACATGCAAGGGGTCGTGCTTCCATCAGATGGATGGACATGTCACCAGCACGCTCATGCTTGTTGCAGTCCTTTCTCTTTCCGCCCAGTCACAACCCACGCAGCAAACAGATTCCGGGATGAGGTGAGGGTGGAAGATGCACGCTTCCCATACATCTGTAAGGCAGCGGGCACTGAGGCTGGGGCTGTGTTTCTCATGGCTGCAGAAGCTGAGAAGTGGAATCCCACACCATGGGATCAGACTGCTCTATGCAGCTGGTGCACCAGGCTGTCATCGCTTCCCGAGTTACCTGGTGATTTCTAACAGAAACGCAGTGCCTGGCTCTCTGACCGCTAGGTAGTGAGAGCCACTGCTACATCGTGCACACAGATGTGTCGTTGCTTTTTATTTACTCCAAAATTACCTGGCATTAACTTCAGCAGCTTCCTTGGATCTGTTCCCATGCTGAGAAGGCCTAAAAATCAAACCACTTTAATTGTCTATTTTCCATATACACATATATGTAAAAAAAAAATCTCCCAAACTGCTCCCAGTCAGGCTGCTGGCTTTGTCTGGAGGAGCAGAGACTTCAAAAAATTATTTTATCTGGTCTGTTCTGTGGCTGCTCTTCAGGGTGTGGGTTTTTTCCGGATTTGGTTTGATTTTGCCTTTTCTCTACTTCTTTTGATTTTGCTTCCTATTTTATCTTGTTTATTCCTCTGCAGAGGAGAGCAAGATAGGAGGAGAGGGATTCCTTTGAAAAGTCTAGTTAAATGAACCACTGTAGGAGTCCAAATACTCTTTATAGTCAAGCAAGCTGGTGGACAAGTGAGTGCCAGAGCAGAAAGGTGCATGCTGAATGGCAATTGGCAAAAAGCAGCCCTTAGAGCCCCTCTCAGGAGGGGGAGAGGAGACAGGGACACTCATTTGCCCAGAATTCAATCCCACTCTCAAGTCACAAGCTCAAGCCTTCTACAAAGGCTTCAAACAGTTGATGTCTGGGCTGTGTGTGAGTGTGGCAGATGGGAGGTTGGGGTTCAGTTCAGCTGTAGCACCATTTACATTTTGGTTTTCACTAGCTTCTGGTGAGCTGTACGTTCCACTCCACAAACCACTCCAGCAAGATCAGCAGCTGAGCTCTGATCCTGCTCACTCTGGCGGAATGCACACTTTTTTGAATGCTGTATGTTTTTTCATTTTAGTTTTTTTTTCTTTTTTTTCTTTTTTTTGGGGGGAGGGGACACCTGTTCTAGAAGCAGCTGCGCACAAATAACTTTCATTGCAATATCATTTTCATACCATAAGCTTCCAGCTAATTAGGGCTATACTGAGAAGAGTGAGGGGGATAGCAGTGACTTTTCCCTTCAGTACAGAAAACAAAATCACAAAACCAGAACTAGAAGTTTTCAAGAAAGATCTTGTTCCTTTTGTGTAACCACAGCCACCACTGCTTTTCTGGCATTGCAGCTTCGTCTGCAGTGTTGAGTGCTGAGTGCTGAACATGCCAGGGGGCAACAGCAGCACTGAGGGGGTTAAGGGGTTCAGGCTCCCAGATAAATTCCCTATAAATGCTCTCTTGCCTGACTGCCCTCCTCTAGGGCCACACCTGCCTCCTCCCTGATCCCTCCCACTTGGAGGGTAAATAGGCACTGCTTGCGGTAGGTGGGAAGGGCCATCAGCATCCTTCGTTCTCTGCATTTCTCAGGGGCTGTGGAAAGACAGGCTGCAGTGAGAAAGCTGCGATTCCTGTCAGCTCCCTCTGCCCTCCCAGCCCCATCGCTGACTCACAGAGGTCAGGCTCTTTCCTGCCTCGTGCTTTTGATCTATAAAGCTTTGCTTGTCAGCAGCGACCCCGGCACGTCTCTGCACGTTTCCAAGTACGCTGCAGGTGCCCTTCATGAATGTCAGTTTGTGTTTGGTCCTGGGCGTTAACCTTGACCCCTGGCCCCAGCATGGGCTATGGCCATTAAACCTGTCTCTCCGGGCTTTTGTCACCATGCAGATTGTTTCCGCAGTCCTCTGATGCTCATGTCTTCCTGCTGGCAGGGATGGCTAGGGGGATGCACATCTGCACAGCAGCCGTGCGTGTGCTGGACAGGCCTGCTGGCATCTCAGAATGCTACAGAATTAACAGAGTCAGGTACTGTGCATTTTCCAACGATGTTTATTTGTTTTTCTGTAGCCCATTGACACAGCTGGATCTGGCAATGGCACCAATTCTTCTTTCCTTAAAGTGTCTGAGTGACATTAAGTCAAGGCTAACACTGTAGTCAAAGGCATTCAGAGAGCAGCAGCAGAAGCAATGAGAGGTGTTGGGAGCAGGCTGTATAGCAGGGCAAGAGGGGCAGGGAGCATCTTCCCTCCCATTGCCGCAGTAAAGACAGGGTGCAGATATGCATATCATCTTTTTGGTTATCTGTACCAGACAAACACAGCACCATGCAACATAATCTGCAGCTGGAAATGGGTGAAGAGCAAGATATGGGTAGTTATTGCAGTCTGCTTTTTCGGAAGCTATGTGTCTTAGAAGCACAGCTGCCCGTGGCAGGGAGCAGTCCGATGAGTAACAGGGCTGGCAGCAGCTAGCACACGAGCTTCCATGTGACATTGGCTTACTGAAGGGAACCAAAATTCTCAGGATGCATCTACTGGAATGGGCGTCTCCCTTGGAGCCAGATCCACTCTGCTGCGTTTCAAATGGAGCTCAAGTACCTAAAATATTGTGTAAAGAGAAACCTATCTCTTTTTGTCTGCACAAGGTGGACCACCATGCTGTCTTGTCAGGTTAAGGTTCCTTCCCAGGGTGCCTTCCCTCCAGCTCTGACCCAGACCTGCATCTTCCACGGTGACTTGCTGTCCAGCCTAGCTGGAGGCAGCACCACCTCAAACATCATTTCTCTTGTAAAAGAAGATCAGAGGAACACCTTTTTCTGGTCGCACTCTGCTGCTAGCAATTCCACCCACCTTCCAGCCCGCTGCCCCAAGCTGTGTGTGCTGTGCAGCTGCACGCAGGCGCAGAGGCTGGGCCGGGGGTAAGGGAGAGTGGCACACATACAGAGGATCCCTCCCTTTCACCTAGATTTGCCCAGCCACAGACCTTCCAGCACCTCCTCTGCCAAGCGGTTCCTTCACCCCAAGCAATCCACACAGCAGCAGCCAATCCAGAAGCCTCCACAGTTAGAGGCACGACTCGTGCAGCCCGGTTCGCAGCTGGGACCTTTGCTCGGCCCTAGAGACTGAAAGAAAGGCTTTGGAAAGGCGGCCTGGCTCCTGCAGCCAGCACCATGCCCTTGTCTCAGCCAGTTACTGTACAAAATGGACAACACACACACATTATTTACAGCTTGTTTTTCACATGATGGAGCAGCTCTTGGCTCGGTCTTTCCGAATCTCTGTGTCATTCAGTAAGTCCGTCCTGCCAGGCATCTGTGATGCCCGCTTCAGTCCGCGTTTGGAGTTGCTGCGCTTCAAGTTCTTGTGCATCCTGTTGACTGAGGCAAGTGTGGTCACGTGAAACACATCCCGGACACTGTTCTCTGAGACCTTGGAGGAGCACTCTGCATAGGCCACTGCCCCAATCTGCCGTGCCAGCGCACTGCCCTGCGGTCCAGAGAGAGTGGGAAGAAGAGGGAAGAAGGTTAAGACACTAGCGTTCTGCGAGGAGCATCCTTTCACATCACTGTCAGCCCTCTCTGAGCTGGCAGCCCTTTCAGAGAACCGTGGCACAGCTGAGAGTGGCTCACTCACCATGTTTACTCATAACCTCTGTAAATAAAGTGCAAGCATCTATGAGAGCATCAGACGTGAGGGTGGCCTCCCAAGCAAACAGCACTACCAGTGCTGGACCCTGAATCGCTTGCACTTTCTCACTGATGTGGTGCCACTCCTGCAGCTGGGGACCTGGACAAGCCCTCTCACCAGGACAGTCATCTGGGACCTGCTCTGCACAACACGGAGCCAGGCACAGAGCAAACCAGAGCACAGCCACCCCAGAGATGAGGTCTCCAGGCCAGCCTGGAGGCACTGCTGGGTCCACTGGTCATCTCAGCAGCCCAGCAGCAGACCCTCAGAGCCCCCAGCTGTGGCTCGCCCCCTGCCAGCAGTGTTGCTGCAACACAGAACTTGACAAAGAGGGTCACTTGGAGCACAGCTGCACTGAACTAAGAAATGCAGAAACACAACACTCCCCTTTAGCCAGCCCAACTTGTCAAATCAGGCATCTCCACCATCTTTGAGGAAAACTTTGCTCCTGCTAACCAGGAGGCTGTTCTGTAGAGCATCAGGAATAAGTCAAAGTCTGACAGAGCTGGAGAAAAGAGTGCTGTAAGCACGAGCAGCTCAGAGTCCCTAAGCCAAGATGCAACCAGCTTCAGACCAAGACCCGGGCACAGAGGCTCATTTGCTGATGAGCTTTGTTGTACTGGCAGGTCCTGCAGAAAAGTTCCTGCCTCGTCTCCCTGAGCCCTAGGGGGACAGCTGCTGAAACACACCTGTTCATGTGTCACAGGGATGAGGCGCTGCTTGGAAAGCTCCCGGAGCGTGTTTAAGTCTGTCCGCATATCCAGCTTGCAGCCGACCAGCACAATCTTCGCGTTGGGGCAGAACTCCTGAGTTTCCCCTTGCCACTGCAGAGGAGGCAAGAGGGAGAAGGCGCTCAGGGCTTTCTGGTGTACGAGACACTTCAAGAGGCCCAGCAGCACCTCCACATCAAGTTAATTTCGGCAGCAGGCCTGCAAAAGGGTCAAGGTTGGAAAAACAAAGGCAATCACAGGGTCTCGGCTTGTCACTCCCAGCCCTTCCAAGCAGGCCAAGAGCCCTGCCCAGGATCCGCCAGCTCTGGAGAAAAGGACAGGCCAGGAGAGTCGTGTTATCAGTTCCTATGGGACAGCATCCTCCAGCTAAACATCTCCATGCCTGACCACCACAGCAGAGCCCGTGAGTCTAGTTCATACCTTCTCCTCCTCCCACCAACAAACAGCACTTCCCTCTCCTATAGAGGAACAAAAAGTGCAGCAGCCCAGGGAATTCAAGCACCCAAACGTAGCTGAAGGATGAAAATTCTCGAAAGGATTAAGCTATAGGGTTTGTTCTTACCAGGCAGCAGTCATGGCTGTCTGTAATGACACAGGGCTCCCCAGTCTATGGAGAGAGATGTGACCCTCTTCTCAAATGATTGACACCTTAGGGAGCCTAAGATTTCTTGCACTATCAAGACATCAGAATGAAGGCACCACCCCAAGAAAATCCACATCGTATGAAATGAAGAGCTGCTTGTTTGTGTCCTCTCAGATGGCTGCTTTCCCTTCAGCTGTACATGCAGTACAGGCAGCTCAGGCATCAGAAGGGCACCAATAATAAAGATTTCCTCTGCTGAATTAGCATTTTTGCCTGAGGCTTGAATAGGGAGTGTTATTTTCCTTATTCACCTGATATCAAAAGCTAAACTCTATTTTATCTTGATGGCATCTTAGGAATTTTCCTCACCTCCACAGGCTGCAAGCCTGTACCAAAGGAAACAAGGCATCTATGTAGAGGCACTTAAGAAATCCCCTGTGATTTTGGGTTTATTTTAAGTTACTGTATCAAAAAGACATTGCCTAACGGTACTCAAAGCATCCGTGAGGCTGCACAGAGTAGGCTGTGCACTTAGCAGTGCAGACTCACATGGAGAGTGTGCAGAGACACATAAATAAATGCTAACCCCGGCTAATTATTGATGGGTTTGCATCTCATTAAGGTGTGATTTGCTTGTGTTATTAATCTGCTGACTCCCAAGCTGAGGAGTAAATTCTTTCAGTCCACATGAAACACGCCTCCTTCCAGCACACTTGGTACCCAGGACCTGCTTTGGAAATAAACACTAAGCCATTGACCGAGTTATCTGAAGGGTCTTTGTCCTCTCACTAGGACACTTCTCAGACACAGACCCACTTCTTGGCCCTCCCAGCAGCTGGGTAAGAGGCACTTGTTTCAGCACAACGTTTGGCAAAATGTGGAGAGGCCAAGAGGGCAGTCAGTGCAATGTGACTTGTTCAGGCAGTGGCCAGTCCAGCCCCAGCAGCCTGGGGCTCACGGGGGGAGAACAGCTACAGGAATCACTACTCTGCAGAGGTTCTCACACCTTGGTGTCTCAGAGAGCCAGACAAGACTCACCTTTGGGACAGACTGCAGCCAGCAATGAGCTCTCTGCAGCTTTGCTGTGCAGCAGTGAGAGCCCTGATGACAGTCTCAGGGAGCAGGGACCCCAGGGCAGCTCCACGTATTGCTGCAGTGGACCTGTCTGGCCGGCCGGAAGGCACGCCAGGCACTCACCTTCTTGAGCACACTGTCCAGGGTCTCCGGGCGACTGATGTCAAAGCAGATGAGCACAGCGTCTGAGTCCGGGTAGGCCAAAGGACGGACGTTATCATAATATGCTGAGCCTGCAGAGAGGAGAGGAGAGGAGAGAGAAGAGTGGTGAAGAGCAGAAAGTTTCATCCCACTGAGGGCTCACGACCTGAATGGGCAGGCTAGGACCCCCAGCCCTGCCAGGCAAAGAGATCTTTAATTGCAGTAAGAACTGGAGATGCTGCCACATGATACAAGCTGCTCTGCTGGAGATAAAGGATGTTGAGCCAAACTTTTGACTGATGACCAGACACCGTTAGGTTCAGCAGAGTTTGGTTTGCAGAGGATTTGGTCCCTGCATTTAGGTGTGGAAGTCTGAGGTTTTGTCCTTGTGCTCTCATGTTTATCTCTTTGCAGAGTGGAAAATGCAAGTTTTTCATTCCTCTCCCTCTCTAATAAGCCTCTGGCAAGTAAGAGGTGGCGGAGCTGTGGTGCCAGGGTGTGCTGGCTCACTGCAGAAAGGGACCCTGGAAGAGCTGCGATACTGGAGAGCAGCATATGCCTCTCTGCCGCTTCGTATGTATCCTAATACTTGTCATGCAGTGGCTGCACCACTAACGGTGGAAAGGTGTGGCTGAGAGAAGACAGGGAAGGCTTCTGTTATTTGTTATCCTCTCTTGCTGCCTTTATACAGGAGAGCTTGCTCACACACATTGTGAGAATTTTGCTCTAGCTTTGTGCTAGAAAAAGTCTTTTCGGTACACAGAAGATGTGACAGGATTGAAGAACAAGCTATAAACTGGAGGGGATGATTCTACAGGATTTCTCAGAGAGCAGCCAGAGAGCCCAGGGTGAATCCTGCACAGTTTCAGCTGCACGCACGAGCGTAGGCACACACCTTCAGTGCAAATTTCAGGCATTAAGGTCATTGTACCACATTTTTATTTGAAGTGCATTCAGTTTGCAATTGTAGATGCCTCAGTAAACAGTAATGAAGCAATCAGCGCTTTGCCACTTAAAAACACTGTTTAGGTTTTATATTTGGCTTTACAATGGCTTAAGCTTCCTGGAGGGATGAGAAGCAGATGTTTATTTATGAAAAGGGGAAGCAGAGACACCAGAGTCCTTGTTAAATCTGCCTCCTCCGAAAGAAGGATCGCCCACCCTGAGGCCGAGGAAACCGGACACGCTTCCTGCTGTGGCCCCTCGGGATGCCCAGATCAGGCACTTTCCCACCCTGGGAGGAGGGTGGAGCACCCAGCCGGGTGTCAAGTGGCTCCTTGATGAAGTTCAGCACCTGATAAATTATGGATGATGGTGGCTTATGTTTCCGGGAGGAGGGGAAGCTGCCTGGGGTAAGCGTGAGAGGAGAATAGGCTGATTCTCCACAGAGGCTCTGACCCTGGCTATCATTTGCATGGGGGCTCACAACTGATGTACAGCACAGAGGGGGTACAGCCCCTCCAGCACAGCTCTGCACGCCAGGTGCTTTGCCAGATCTCTCTGCCAGACTCAGCCAGGAGAGCAAACCTGGCCATGACCACTCCTTCCTCTGCCCAGAGCCCACATGAGGCAGGCTGAGGGCTGAGATATGTTATCATCTTCCCAAACCCTGCCCAGCTCCAGACACCGGCCACCCACCCTCCTCTTGACATTCGCTCACTTCAAGATACGAATGGCAGCCACCGCTGGGACCTGCAGAGCACGAAGCTCTGGGTACGCTCCAAACAGAGCAGCTCCACCTGTGCCCACGCAGCCCCCACTACTCTCACTGAGCCTGGGGCAGGTACCCTGGGATTTGATGCATATTTGGATTCCCAGCAAAACTGGCTACAGACATCTCCAGCTCTTACAGACAGACACGCTGCTGCCAGCCCACAGGAGCAAAGGCACCTGCAGCCCCTGGCCCCATCAGTGAGAGACACCACAGCCTGGGTCTCTGCCCATGCAAAGTCCCTGGGAAGAGAAGCAGTTGAGATCCAGCATAGAAGAAACAGACCCTGCTCTCTGCAGAGTCAGCCCTCTTCTAGAGGGAAGGTCATCTTCCTTGAATGGAAAGGAGCCAGTCCTTGTGACGCCTCCACCAGCTCGGGACCAGGGATGCAGGCTGGTGCACAAGGAGTCAGTGAGCCAGGGCAACCATGCATCCAAGGCGTGGAGATTTCTGACCTCACTTCAGGCTCAAGCTGCTTCAGTTCATGACT